ATTAGCATGGTTCATAAATGATTATTTTTTCATAATATTTATCTTATATCACTAGCGAGAATCGGTCTCATCCATTATTTATTAATATACCAACTGATATCTCAAGTGAAGCAATTACCACAGTTTCTATCAGTAGAGATTATGTTAGAATAACTCCACTTACTATTGATGCAACACCTATAAACTACAATTCAGTATTCACGGATAGTGCAAGAAATAAGAGTTTAAATTCTAAGTTTATTAATCAAGAAAATTTAAACGGAACAAGAAATCTTACACAACAAGATATTCAAACTCCATCACTTTTCGTAAATGAAGATATAGTTGAAACAATACCAACAACAACGCAACAACAACGAATTTTTCCTATTCACCCTACACTTACAACTCCAAAAAATAAAAATGCAGCATTTCCAGAAACAACTACACAACCGACAGTAAAATCTTCAGTTATTCCAAAAAGTTCACAAATAGACTACCAAACAATTAGACCAGTAACAACACCAAAACAAACAAATAAGCAAAAGACGTCAAAAAGAAATAACTTCTCAGATCATAACTATAGTTTTTTTTCCAAAAATTCAAAACCTCCCAATATGAATAGTCAAAATCAATCACAATCACAAGACCAAATTGTACCACAACAAGCTTCTGAGTCAGTATTTTTTTACGATCACGCACGAACCACACTGGACCGTAAGGAAAACTATCCATTTTCTAAACAAAATAAAAACATAACAAACAAACACCATATTAAGAATCAACCACATTACTCAGAAGATGAAGAACACTGTCATCAAAATCAACAACAATTCAATACAAATCAGCAACATGATTTTTAGAACATTAATCAACCAGATTCTTTTTATCAACCAGATCTTTTCGAACCATATACACGAAACGCACACAGACAAACAAGACATCACCCAATGGCATACAATGAATTGTCAGTCAGTACAATTACAAAACCCAGTCAGTACACAAAATTACCAGCCAACTCAAATGCATAATGAAATCTCACTACCATATTATCTACAACAACACGAAAAAACAAAATCCCAACTTACAAAAGTTTCCCAAATACCAAATGCCACAAACGACTATGAATCCATACTTTATGGGTGGATCCTCTTTATCTTAAAATAGGCCACTAATTGTATTCACAGGAACAGATCCTGAAAACTCAGTAGAAGAATATTTAATTGCAGTCACAGACAATTTGAATTTAAATATAGGATCTGAACCAGAAAATACAACACTTCATCAAAATTGAATACATAGACGCACAGCTCCAATCCAAACAACACTTGATGGCGCACCCAAAAAATGGTTTTCAGTTTTACCTATAGATGTTTAAACAGATTGGAAAAGATTCACACAAAAATTTTTAAAAATGTTCGACCCAGAAAGAAACAAACAAAACCAAAGTGTATGATGCAATGAAATTCGTAGAATCCCCAACGAAACATTTAAGCAACTTGCAGTAAGATTTGAAACACTAGTAAGTAAAGCAGATTCCCCTATTACGCATGATTATAAGGACACAAAAATGACAGAAAGATTAATGATGACTCTAACACCTCAATTACGGAAAATAGCAATAAAAAAGAGAGCATCACATCCATCTTCAATTCGAAAACCCGATATAGACTTCAGAAAACTAGTGGATAAACTAGAATATGCCGAAATCACTAGGAAACTGGAAGAAACAAAAAATTTAAAATTACAATATGTAAACAACATTCAAACCACTACTTCACAAACAAACCATATCCATGACTCTGACACTGAAATAGCTGAAAAAATCACTCAAAAATTAAACATCTATGAGAAATACGCAAATTTTAAGGGCAAACCATCATTCAAAAAATGGTGTAACTATTGCCGTAGATACGGACACAGCATTGCTGAATGTAGACAAAAACAACAAGATACTCAGAAAAACCACAAAACATAGAGAACCAAATAAATCATTTTACCAAAACATGAGAAAAGATCGAAAATTTACCAAACAAAAACATTCACAGTAACAAAAGTTCAGGTAAACCACTTCCTGATAGCTATGTTACCTCTAGACAACAATCACCCTACAGATATAACTATCGTGGAAGATCCCCAGATCAAAAAAATTCACTAATTTTCTCACAAAAAGATATACTCGATCAAACAGTCAAAACAGTCAGTATCGAAATAATTATTTAAGATCCAACTCAAATAGAAGCAACTATTCAAATTATAACAGAAAACGTTCAAAATCGAACCCCCGAAACAGATATCATTCAAACGATTGTTCTAGAAATTCCTCATACAAAAGGACCAGACAATACCAAAATAACAGATCACGAAACTATTCAAACAATAAATCAAACTATAATAATTCACACAATAGATCAGATGACACTAAACAGGAAATAAGATAACTTTAAATAAATTGTAAATTTAATGAATAACCCGACAAAAAAATCCATTATAATCGATTAAAATCGATTATAATGGATTATATTGACAAAAAAATATTAGAATTATAATTTTTTTTTAATGGATTATAATCGTTTGTTTTGTCATTTTATTGCGGACCATATGATGAAAATATAATCGATAATGATCCATGGGCGCTCGGTGCGGGAATCTATTATAATCTATTATAATTCCAATATAATCGACATAAAATTAAAGTTTTTTAATGGATTTTTTTCTCCATATAATCGATTATTCTACTCTGCGACCACAAAATCACCAGATAATTGATTATTAAAAGAACAATTTTTTGTTCGACCACAAAATTGCCAGATAAGAGATAATAATCGGAGAAACTTCGGTGCGGGTATGCAAAAAAAACAAGACGCTATAATTGATTGTTCTATGACAACTCTACTGCAATCAATCTTTTAAATTTTGGAAATGTATTTTTGCCGACGTAACCAGATTTGAAACCTATGAAAGTTCGATTTGATACCATTTATCTTAATTGTGCCGGAGAGGTACTGAAGATCAAGGGAAAACTCAGGGGAGCAGCTGGAGGACGCCATTCCTTCCTCGGATGATTTTTTTCACCAATGAAAAGATTCCGGTTCTACTGCTAATTTTGTTTTCGAAATGTTGCCAGCTGTTCAACAAGACAACTCGTATCAGGGCAAAACCCTGAATCTTCCGAATGCATATTATGACCGATGAAGTAGTGTTCGGTCTAACAAAATCGATGAAATTTTCAAAAAAAAGTTGACAAAACTAAAACACAAATAAGTTTTTTTTTGAAAACCATCTCCCACACGCTATTTAAAGTACAAATTAATAAATTTTTTTCTGAATTTTGGAAACAATCAGAACAAATATGCTCGATGTGGTTTTTTATTCAAAATAATTCTCAAAATTGTTTTCCTCAGGAGATCGATCCATGGACATTCGTGGTCCCAGAAAGTTCGCGCTGACCGACTGACTGCACTGCTTTTAATTTTAGTGTGAATCGCTCACTAATAGACTAACGTGATGTTTGTGTTAGACTAACGTAATGCTGAAAATTTAAAGCGCAATATTTACACGTGGTGAAATATCCCGCACAACAAAATCATTCCAAATGTAATTGTTTTATTATTTCCATGCACTGTTCCTAATATTCAGCATAAAAATCAGACCAGTTTTTTGGACAGTCGGAACATTCAGGCAGGGAGTTTCCCTAATACAAGTAGTCTTGTTTGCTCCTAGCGAAGCATTAAACAGACTAAATACCATGCCTAAATTCAATTTGGAACGCTTTTTAAGACGGGTTAAGTCTCCGCTTAAGCGTTAATAGCACAAAGTATCGCGCTTTAATTGTACCATTTTGGCCGAATTGGCAATCTTTAAACCCTTCACGAAAAATGATGTCGAGAGAGAGAGAGAGAGAGAGAGAGAGAGGAAGGCTTAATTTACCCCGTGGGGAGTTTACAATCACAAATAATGAAATGCAAACATAAAACAAAAAAAAATATAAATATATAAAATAAACTATGACCGGCAGAAGGTACAGCAGCACTTTCCATACCAAGTACACGGAATGTTTTCTTCGAATGTTTGACGTAGCTTCGTATCATAGAACTTCATAACTTCACGCTTGTACCGGGGGAATGATAGACGGACATCAAGCTTCATGAAATTCAATAGTCTAGGAATACGGTCAAAATAAAAGGACTTTGTCTTCTCGTATTTTCGCTTCTTTAATTTGAAAGAGTATATATCAACACTCCGTAATGATACAGATGGGTCATTTATATCAACAAAATCGAAGGGGTTTAAATCGTACTTGTCCTGAAACAGTTTATGGAAAAACAGAAGATTTGAGATTTCAATATGATATGGCAGAGGATAGATTCCTAACTTTATCAGTGACGTTTTATAATCACCTGACAGACCGATCCATCTCACACATCTTCTGTTGAAAAGATGTGTGAAATGCATACATTTTTTTGAAAATTGAGCACAGAATAACAATATCTTTCGAATTATTAAAAAGTCAAAATTGGTCTGGAGAACCAAAACTATCCCGAGCACATATATTCCTTCATTGTTCCAACTTTCGAAGAAAATGGAATAGTTATGCTTCGTGCGGTTTTTTTATTAAGTCATTTTATGGCGATCGAAAGAGCTGCTTAAAAAAACTTTATGCCCCAGTGAAGATATCGACTCCAAAAAAGATATTTCACCTCCGTTCAACTTTTACAAAATTTTGGGAGTTTGTTTTTGACCGTGGACTATTTTGTGCGCACTTCGATCTTTTATCCAGAGTCCTGAAAGCGTAACGCGAATTATTTATGCATGACCACTGATAGTTTTTCAAAAATTTACTTTTCCAAAAATCTATTTGATATGTATTAAGAGGCAGTCGGAACATTCAGGGTTTTGCCGTGATATACGAGCAGTCTTGTTTACTTCAAAAATGGACATGACATTGGACACGACGTCAATTTCTGCGAACAAAATGTTTTCGAGATAGTTTTTGCGCTTTTAAAATTTTGGACGTTTTTCTCACAAGATTTGTAAACTATATTATATGAGAAGAGTTCTCAATTAAACAGCAAAATTAAATTCGAAACTTCAGTTCATGTAGATCATCGATTATAGATTGTCAGTTAATCTTCATATTTCCATAAAATCCGATCCAAACAAGAAATCCTGATGTCATATGTTAGCCTGGTCCAATAGAGCCCCCGTAGAACTGTTTCAGCCTGTTTCGGTCACTAGCCCCTTTGGCGCCATTTGCAGTGACTTTATTCAAGAACCCGACGTTGAAGTCCGATCTCTTATGATTGACGAATGGATTCCATGGTTTGTCAATATCTTGTCGGTTTACTCAGATGGGAAGCAAGCATGTTGCTGGAGATAAAGTTTATAAAGGTAAAATTTTTCTAGCTCGTCCATTTGTTGCTCCATGAAGCTAAAATGAGCCATTTTTTGTAAATTTGTTATTAAAACGGTTTTATTTAGAATTTTTTAATCATAGTTGCATAACTTCATTTTTGTTGTTTCCTTATCATTTTACCGGCTGTAGTTTTGATAAACATTAGAATTTTACACTAACAAACACAAGGATAACCAATATCAAAAGTGGATTTAGTGAGGGGGGACACAAAATAGTAATCATTTTAAGAGATCAGACTTTTCACCCTATCAAAGTGGTAATCACTTTTCATCCTGTATATCCTATAAACAATTTCAATGGCAAAGTAAATTCAACGAGGAAAGCGATGATTAGAAAGTTTTCTGCCATTAGGGTTAATTAATTAGCGATAAATGCGACCTGATTTTTTTCCTAGCGACAACTTCAAGGAATCAGAAACTTCTATAGAAAATCAATTTGCGATTATGGAAATCTATAATAGCTTAATGGAGCCTAGGAATTTAGACAACAAGCAAATTGAACGCCCGTAAAAATGGGAATTTAGACAAAAATTCTTGGTGAATTTAGAACTGGGCCAGCGATTTATTTGTTTAGAATGAAGTTACAAAAAACAAAAAAGTATAAATGATCAATTTTATTTTGTAAATTAAATAGAAAAAATTAATATATTTTTGAAATGATTAAATTATACAACTGTGACTTTAATAACCTGATTTGTGGTTGAAAAACCAGTAATATGGTAGCCAAAAATTAATTTTAGGTCTTTAAACAAATTTCACGCAATTTGTAAGCAAGTTATCGTCTAAATTCTGTTATAGTTTCTGGTCGCCTTATTTGCTTGTCGTCTTATTTCCTAAACTTCATAGCTTAATAGCTTCTCTGAAAAACAATAGCTCAACAAACTTGGATTTCGCTCCTTTTTAATAAAAACTATAAGCACCAAGGATAGCCGGTTTCTCTGCAAGTAGTGCAGAATTTGACAAGTATGCAAATTCTTATATCACAATAAGAGTTGCTGATTTTAACCTTTTTTTGTTTGTTTTTGTTAATGAGAGGCAACTGAATGAAACATAAAAGCAGATTTGCAATGGATAAATTATTGAAGAGATCTCAGAAAAGTTAGATTCGAAATTCATTCTAAAAGTCTGAAAAATCATCAAATTGAAAGTTCTTCACGATACTGAAGCTTTTTTAGAATGCGAATCACGGCTCAAAGCGCTTCAATGAGTTGCCTCACTAAATGAACTCCGAGCTTTCTTTGAGGTAGTCAAAATTGGCTAAAAGAAAAACAGAATCTACGCAATAGTTTTTTTGTAGTTCGTGAAGTGATCGGAACAAAAAAAAGATTCAACACATAACAAACCGAGCAGTGGTGAAGTTGAACAAGAAACACTAAAAACCAAATATGAGTGTCTCTTTATAGTTTTTTTCTCGATCTGATGTAACTTTTCCAATTTCTGAAGTGGTTAAGAAGTATGATGTAGTAATTATTTTTTACCGGGGGTCAAACCTATATTGAATTGGGGCCGTTTAAGTTGTGATTTTTTCCCAATTTTCACACTAGTTCACAAGAAAAAAATGAAAAGAAAAATAGACAATTTTTATCGGATTCTAATGCATTTGAAGGTGACTTTTAGCTCTGATCAACATTTCATAGCAGAATAATATTCAATGGATTTTTCTCTCACCGATAACAAAAACTATAATTTTTTGTGCTCCTTGCAAAGCGACCGAACGTCTTAGCCATGGCTATGCAATCAAATTAGTTTTTGTAATTATTTTTCTGAAATTGTTCGTGTATAGTATGAAGAAAGTTTGACAAATTGTGATAGGTAGAAGAAAACTAACCCTGTCTGAAAAAACCTCAATCGAGCACAAATGTTCAGTTTTTTCATAAAAGGTCGAAACAATAAAACACCGAGCTGTGAGTGCCAAAAATGGCTATAACTAATTGTTCAACAAAAGAAAAAGAAACAACAAACATTCAAAATCTTACTCTTAAGATTTCTTACTGCCCTAATTACCTTTTACTGGCGTAATTTACTGACCATTTACTGACCTAATTAAATTACAACATAATAAGGGAGAAAATTTCTATAAATTTAGAACCATGAAAAACTCATTTAACTCTACGTTTTTAATAATTTGTTAGCATAAAAAACGCAGATACTTTTCTTTCAACAGTCTCATAATTTACCCGGGTTGACCAAAACTTCTTATCATACAATTTCCAAATATGAGAGACTTCATGTCATACAATTCCATAAGTACAGAAAATTGTATGAAAACTCTATGATAAGCATTTTTACATATATGAAAATTGTATGATAGGTGTTTTTCCATGCACCAAAAAGTTGATTTTTTGCTTCTAATTATAAATTCTGAAAAATTTTGGATTGCTTTAAACTTGGATTGCTTTGTAACTAAACACAAGTGACAAAGACCTTGGTTACTCAAAGTACCAAAGGTAGGACAGTCTCGCATTTACATTGCATATTAAACAACTTGAATTGACATAATATAAGGAAAGTAACAAACTTTTGAAATTTAGTAAAATTTTTCAAAGATGATTATTTAAAAATTTGAACCTTCAAGTTATCAGACATTGATCAAGGCATACATAAACATACCATACAAAAGAAATAGGAATTTTCAGCGTTTTTGAAAAAAATTATACCGCGAAAGAAAAAACGAACCAACGTTATTGTATCCGGGATTACGTTATACACGCAAAAAATTAAATTTTGCAAGCAAAAATTTTTTTTCAGAAAAGGTTTGTTTGGGTACAAAATTCATTTTGCAGTTGAAAAAAAATTTTATTGGGGTAATTTTAAAATTACTTGGAAAAATGTTTGTGTCGCCATCAAAAAAAATTCAGTCATACAGTTTCCATTTATTGGAATTGTATGATAAGCATTTTTTTTCAAAAACGAAAACCTCGGTTTTTTTCACCAGACTGTTTTATTAGAATCAAACAGCCACAGAAATAATTTTATATTTTTTTTTCAACCATTTTTAGAAATTGTAGGAAAATTGTATGACAAGCATTTTTCCACACACTTGATGTATCGAACTGTATGAGAAGCATTTTCGGCGTATGGAGGTCATCAGGGAAGATACTAGTACCAAACAAAGCTCCTTTTCTTTCCCCATCAGAAAACAAATTCAACAACAATTCACGGTTTTCAATTTCTATGAAATTTAGCATGCCGACAATTTATGTTTTATATACAGTTCTGAATTTTATACCAAACCTTGTAAGACCACACGTTGCGCCATGAAATGATGTACGTATAAAATTTGTTGTATGAGGTAAATAGCTCAATTTTGAAGTGTTAAGGCTGTTCATTCAACTAGGTTAAAATAAATTAAAATAAGCAATTTTTGCCTGTTTAATAATTTTTTCTATAGCAAAACAGCTCCAATGCAAAGAAATAAAACTTTTTTGTTTTGGCAAAACAATCAACGTTATCCATGGATGTATGTTTTTCCATCTTTACACATGTCATCTTAATCCGCGGTTATGACCTCTTTATGGCCGAACACTTGCAATTTCGCGCAAAAAGCCTTACGCAGCCTGAGTAATGAAATCTCTTATAAAAACAGAGATAGTTTCGAATCCCGCGCTTGATTTTGCTTTCATGAATTGGGCGAACCAATCATCTAAGCTAGTTTTCTCACGGACTAAACAAGTAAACTAGTACCCAATTTTCCAAGGTATATTTCGTGGATTCCATGAGTTTTCACGCATTTCTTTTATAAAACCAGTTCTAAGCTATAGTTTATATTTGGTTGTAAATATAATTCTCTATTCCTATTAAATATTTCTAACTAACCATATTCCATCTCTAACCTTTACACTTATTTGTAATTGATGAAACTAGTTGTAGTTTTATCACCATAGAAATTTGAATTAAACTTAGAATACAGTTGTTCTCCTTCTGGCAATTATCTCACATAAACCATTATACACTAGATCTATTGAGACTACAAGATATGAGTAAGATTAAGATCGGTATTAGACTAAGAAGTTGCACGAATCTATCCGGCCGAAAATAAGATACCGTAACGATCAAACGGTGTACCTTATCTGAAATTATTCTATGAATATAACCAATAGGTCATAACTCATCTGGTGCGACCAAAAGTCTCGAACAAGACCTTAACTAAATTTGAATCAGAAAAAAATCGACTCTAGAATTAGACAATTGCAAAATTGCAAAAATGTTAGTTGAAAAAGACAATTTATTAGAAATGTCTTTCCGACTCAATAGATCGCTACCAATTTTCCGAACAAAACGAGAAATATCAGGTAATGGGAGAAGACTAAGGACAAGGTACGATCTAGGATTAAGAAGAAATCTACCGATTGACTTCAAGATAGTACGATGGAAACCGGAACAAACCTATGTATTTAGAATCCTTTCCGCAGTAAATTTAAATTTTCATTTGCTGACATGATATTTGATGAATTCCTTCAGTAACTTCAATGCTGCTAAACCTACTATTTATACACTAACGAATCAAAAAAATAACACAGGTCCTTCTCGCCAAAAAATCTGCAGTAAATTAAAACATTTTGAATAAAATAATTTATTGAACAAATACAAAAATTAGGTATTATAAAAAATAATTGTTAACTTTAATAATCTATACACATCATTTTTTCATCCCAAATTCATAATCTAAAAATAACAGCAAACTACAAAAATTTAACATCGCATAAACTCTAATCTTAAACCTTATACGTAAACTTTTATAATAAATCTTATCAAGGCTTATCCTTGTTTTCTCTTGAATTATCTTGACTTACATAACAGGTCATCAATGTTTTCCTTGGATCTTTAAAATCATTTAAATTAAAGTTTTTTAACTTATGATCATCAAAGCTTCCCTTGGAACAAACAGAAAAATTTTGTTCTCCCCTTTCCACGTTTTTAAAGTGTCTAACGACCTCAAACGTCGATTCAATACCCAACCCTTATCAACAAACCAAGACTTATAGAAATCTTGGAAAAAACTAACCATTTTAATTA